ATAAACCAGGTACAGGAGTACCAGGGCAGCATGCCAGGCCCATGCTAGCAGATCACATGCTGCTGGTTTCTGCCTCCCCCCTGCCTGCCCCCAGTGTGTGCAAGCTCACTGTGGGAAATAGGGTGGCTGGGCACTTGCCCCTGCTGTGCAGGTGGGTCACTGTGATTGCCAGGAGACAAGTTGGGCCAGGTGCTCTCTATGGCCTCTGGGCTTCTTTCTGACCTTCCTCCCTGGCTGGCAGGACAAGTCCTTCACCTGCACGCTTTTCATGCCCTTTGAGGAATTTGAGAAGCTCACGACAGGCGAGCAAGTGCTGGGTTTTTTCCAGACCCACTTCCCAGATGCCATCCCCCTCATCGGAGAGTAAGTATTCCCATCTCCCTTTCTCACTCATCAGTGCAGTGCTGCGAATCCAGGGGATGCATCCCCACCCAGCCTTGGGGTCCTGGTGATGGAGACCCTGCTGAAGGTGGCAGGACAACAGGTTGCAACCACTGTTGGGGTGGATCCCCATGGCCTGTGGGTCTGAAGGAGGGGGATTGAACAGACCGAGGGTCCACACTGTGTTTGCATTGCATCCACACTGGAATAGCAGTCTCAGCAACAGGATGCAGCCCGATCCTGTGGCAGTTTCTGATGGAGTCACACGGAAGCACTGCTTGGTCCCTTGGAGGCACAGGCCAGGCCCTGCCACTGCAGGAGCGAAGAGCAGATGACCTCCTGATGCTTTTGTATTACTGTTAAAGGTTTTGAACTCAAGGGACGGATGAGCTGTTCATAAGCCGTGGGTTTCTGACGTTAGAGGTAGCTAAGCAAAGTGTCTCCCCTAGAGCGAAAGTAACCAGCAGTGTGAAGGTAGTCCCACTGTTCAGATAGCTGAGTTGCACAAATGTTAAGATTTCAGCTAACAGACTGAGAAAAGCTGGGCTTGGCAAAAAAAAAAAATTGTAACACTGTGCTGACTAAACAGTCTGGCACTTATTGATTGTATGGCTAAAAAAAAAATATCAGGGCTGAGACACAAGAACAGGCAGTAGCAAAGTGTCTCCCCTAGAGCGAAAGTAACCAGCAGTGTGAAGGTAGTCCCACTGTTCAGATAGCTGAGTTGCACAAATGTTAAGATTTCAGCTAACAGACTGAGAAAAGCTGGGCTTGGCAAAAAAAAAAAATTGTAACACTGTGCTGACTAAACAAAGTCTGGCACTTATTGATTGTATGGCTAAAACAAATATCAGGGCTGTGAGACACAAGAACAGGCAGTTCCCAGCGGCGTGCTGCTCCCCGGACAGTAGGGACCCTTGCTGCTAGGCAAATGGCACAGGGGCAGCAGCAACAGAGCTGGAGCATCCCACTCCTCCTAGGGCCTCTGGTGGCAGTGGGGACTGGGACCAGACTTTCCAGCACACATCCTGATGGCTGTGGCTCTGTTCAGTGTGTCCTCATTTTCCTGCAAAGAGGAAAGCTCCCCAGGCAGTGAAAGCTCCAGCCCACACTATTAATGCTTCTGCTTTGAAACATAGTTATCTATTATGGGATTTTTTGGGTTATACAAGGGTCTCAGCTGTGTTAGGCAGTTTCCTTTCCTCTTAAGGAGACTGTACTGCAGGACTTCATATAAATTTAGAAACTCAGATATCCTCTGGTATATCCTTCCTACAGTGACCACAGTTCCTGGTAAGAAGACAGAGATGTCAATGACACTCTTAGGGCCAGGTTGTGCACAGAGCTTAAAATAGGTTTTCTGGCTTCCACATTTTCCCCAGCACAAATATCCTAGTGAATAGGCTTGGGTTTTGCATCCCAGCACTGACAGTGCCTGTGGCCCTGGCTTCCTGAGATTGGATGTGGCATGTGGCATTGCTCTTCTGGTCCCACAAGTGAAGTATCTCTTGTTTTGCCTGAAGGCGAGAGCTGAAGCATGATTACTTTTTGCTGCCAGCCCAGGCCATGATATCTGTGAAGTGCTCCTCCTACCACCTTGCTTCCCGGTGCGTGCTGATGGGAGATGCCGCACATGCCGTTGTGCCCTTCTACGGACAGGGCATGAATGCAGTAAGTTCATTGCTGGACCTGGGCTGTGTCAGTGGGACCCCCACTGTTTTCACCCAGAAATGCCTGGTTTCAGAGTGTAGCTCCATGGAGTTCATAGGCTGGCCTGTCCCACGATCTGATGTCCTCTGCATCAGCTGGTGTTGAACTCCCCTCAGGCACCTCGTTTTTCACTAGGACCCATCTGTCCTCCAGGGAGAACAGGGGAGGGGGCGGTGGTGCTGCCTTCCCATGGGGCAGAGGACTGCATGGGAGGGGGGCCAGCAGGGCAGTCCCAGGCTGCAGGGAAAGGCAACCCCCTGGATTTCTCTGCAAGACCCCTGGCAGCATCACTTGGAGTAAGACTCCTGCTCTGAAGCTGTGGTCAGTGGGACCCTGCACATGTGAACAGCTACACTAGCTAAGCGTCCGTGAAGGCACTTCTTGTGAATGCGTGGTTCCTTCTGCCTATTTATCCTCTAATTTTCCTCCCAGGGCTTTGAGGATTGCCTGGTCTTCGATGAATTAATGGACCAGTTTCACAATGACCTTGGTGAGTGAGCTGGCCAGGGAGAAGCAAGGGCAGAGGAGGATCCCTCTGCAGCTGAAGACAGCTGGATACCTTGCTGGGGAGCTGCCTGTGAGCTACCACTTTCTTCTGCCAGGTGCCTGCCTCCCTGAGTTCTCCAGGCTGAGGGTGCCAGATGACCATGCAATCTCGGATTTAGCCATGTACAACTATGTAGAGGTAGGCAAGCTGTACAGACTTGTGGTCCCATGGACCCTGTTAGGATGCACACAGTGGGCAGGGGCTCTGGCAAGACTCTGGTTGGGCTCTGACCCCATCAGATGTTAGCCTAAGAACTCCTTGGGAATGCCACTGGCGCTGGGGAGGCTCTGTTCCCTGCAGTGACCCCCAGAACAGGCAGCAGGAGAGCTAGCAAAACTCAGGGGTCTCTATTAAGATGCCCTGCAAAGGGGTGATAGTTGCTCTGTTGCAGATGCGCAAGCATGTGAATTCAACATGGTTCATTTTCCGGAAGCACATAGACAACTTCCTCCACACCCTCATGCCTTCCACCATTGTCCCACTGTACACCATGGTAAGGCCAGTACCTTGGTCCCCACTGCCTCAGCCACTGCAAGCTCCTCCTGGCTGGCTTTGAGGTGATGATGTGCTCCTGCAACTCTCCCAGGTGACTTTCACCAGCATTCGCTACCATGAGGCACTTCAGCGCTGGAAATGGCAGAAAAAGGTTGGTGGTGGTCCTCCAAAAGGTGGTGCTCATCCTCCACATGCCATGAGCCTCATGGGGGGAGCTTTGGTGGTGGGATATTGCCAGGGTGCAGGTGTGAACACTTTGCTTGGTGTGGCAGGGTAGGAGCAAACCTCTGATGATGCCAGGGTTTCTCTTTGACACTTGCAGATAATTAATCGAGGGCTCTTTGTCATGGGGGCAGCAGGACTGTGTGGCACCTATCTGCTCATAAAGCGGCTGGCATGGGACTCGGACCTCTGCGTGGAAAACTTGTGGGGCTGGTCCCGTTATCTCAAGAATATTGGAAATTTTCCCTTTGGCACACAAGCAGCTTAAATGTAAGAGGAGCTCCTGATTGTAATAAAAGTGAAGGCATGGGCTGTTGGCTCAGCTGGATGATGTTGTTTCTCTTGGGATGTGGCCTGAAAGCTCCCACAACCCTTCTCCTGCCCTCCTGGCAGTGGTGGTGGTCCTTCTCCCCAGGCAAGAAGAGCCCAGCAGGGGCTCAGACGTATCTCTGCCTGATCTCATCAACCTTGTCTTGAGTGATGCAATGTGTCATGGGCTGGGTGCAGGTTGTGTGTGCAGTAATGGGTGGAGTGTGCGTCCTCCCAGCCAGCAGGACAGCCACTTGAACTGGTCAGTTGTCCCAGCCTGTACTGCTGACTTCTGCTCTTACCAAAATCAAGTCAATACCTTGACTTGAAAATCATCCAGCTTCCTCCCCACCCCAAGTCAAAGAACATATGGTTCAGTTATTCTTGGTGGAAATGAAACAACTTTAAGGAATGATGTTCTGGGGTGGTCCTTGAAGGATGGAGAAAGGGTCATTCCACACCTCGCTGAGAAATACTTCTGACTTTTGCAAGCAGGTCTCCATAGAGAGACCACCAAACCTTCAGGCTAAGGCAAGACCAAGGGCCTGAAGGACGCTCCTAGCTCACTCTTTTGCCTCTGGGCTTTTGCACAAGCCCTAGCATATATTTCTGTCTAATGCAATTATGATCATATTTCTTTTTGAAAAAGTCTGTATTCCTCATCAATTTTCTCTGATTGTCCTCCAAAGCATGCATGTGGTTGTACTTGCACTGCACACATTACACCAGCAGCAAGACCTGCAGCTGCTCACAGGGGACATAGTCTCTTTGTGTTTAAGTAACAACAGCCTCTGCCTGGATCCTTGGCAACGGGCATTGCATCCAAGACCCAGAGCCCTAACAGGTGCCTCTGGTGTCTTTGTGAAGCCAGGCGTGGGGTGTATGGGGCCTACAACGAGTTGGGGATTCTTGTGCCCAAAATAGCTGCAGGCTGGGAGAGTACTGGGGAAAGTATCAGACACAGTTTCCTTCTTCTTACCTTGCCCTAGACCCCCACAGTCACTGCTGAAGAACAGCAAAATGGCCCAAATTAACCCCGGATCTGACATGATACAGCTATTCTTGTTTAAGGTGGTTTACATATAGCTGCCAGTAGATGGGCAGAGACAAGAACTGGGAATACCTTTCAGGATGTAGATGGCAAATTAGTGTGGAAAACAGTTCGTTTCTCTGGCCAGCATCTTTCCCAGGCACTGTATCTATGGGAGATGCTGGCAGCAACGACACCTCTAGTTTCTCTAATGAACACTTCAGCTGCTGCCATTGCACCTGATTCTTAGCAGAACAGATGTTTTTACTTTATATATTAATTTTTATTAATATTAAACCGCTTCAAAGAGCAAATGAAGATGTGACAAAATACAGCTATATGCAAATTATTCCCAAACTTAAAGCAAATATGGACTTGTACAGCTATTTCACAGGAATGACCCCACAATGTAAGAGAAATTAGCTGCTGTGTATGGTTTAGAAACGTGCTGAGCTGGAGGATGCTCTATCACCTCACTGCAACCCCCCGAGCAGACCGCCAGCCTGGAGGACCCTCCATGTCAAACTCAGCAGTGAGTGCTTTAGAAAACAGTGCAGGCATAATGGTGGAGATCAGTACAGCAGGGGAAGGATTGGAGCAGCCTGGGAGCAGAGCCTGCTAGAGCAGAAGGGAAATGGCAGTTCTGAAATCCCAGCTCCAAATCAAAGCTGGAAGCACTCTGTGCACTCAGCTGGTTTTGGGGCTTGGTGTCTGAAGCTCCTGTGAGAAGGCAAAGCTAGCATGAAGAGCTGAAACAGTTGGTAACTGGTATGGGAGCTGTTGTGTGTGAGACTTGTTCTGCAGTCCCATCCACAGCAAAGCTGTGGCTGTTCCCTTCTCCCAGCTCCACTAACCCAACCGTTGAGCACTTCACCAGGAGACGGGCATGGTGCAGCCCCTCAGCCAGTGCCTGATGTGCTAGTGGCCTCTTGGAAGAAGGGAACAAACCAACAGGATAAAGAAGAAGAGGTGGGAGCCTTAGTCTGAAATTTTCTTAGCTTGGCATTTCCTTATTTAATGGTGGGTCCTAGCACTGCCAGGCATTGATCCGTTTCATTGCCCATTGAACCTGGGGTTCACAACCGTGGTAGTGGCACTCTTGAAGAGAGGATTATCAGCCTAGAGGGAGAGAGGTGGGAGACCTGCATTATTGTCCTGTATTGGATTTTCAGCAGAGCATTATCCACTCCAACACTCCACCGCCGTGGACAGGCTGTCTTACCTCATTCCACTTGGCCTTGGACTTCTCCTTCTCAAACCGGCGGTATTCCCGACGGTCAAACAGCTCTGTCAAGAGCCGCCAGATCAGCAGGAGCACCAGGCCAATGAGGGCCACACCAGCAACAGTGCCTCCCACGATCAGCGCAATGTTGGGAGGCTCCGGGCACTCTGTGGGGCAGACGGAGAGTGTTCAGCTGCAGCCCCCAGTGAAGTGGCAAGGCCACCATGGCAGCAGAGCTGGCAGCTTGCCTACAGAGGGGCAGGAGGAATAGGTGTACCTTTTTTAGGATCGACAATGACAGTGTACATTTCCCTGCCATCCTCCTGGATCATGCGGAAAGAGATCCAGCAGTTTTGGGAGTCCTTCTCCCTGCACTGCTTGCTCACCCTTGTTGACTCCTCAGTCACCTGGATGTTGGGGCAGGCCTGGGAGCAGTTCTTCTCAAAGGGGCCGCTCATGAAGCCCTTGCACTCCACGCAGGAGCTGCAAAACAGGCAGCCACAGCTCAACTCTGCAGGGGCAGAGGATCTCTCACCTGGCTTTGACTGCAGCTTGGCTCTGCCCAAGTACAGACAGAGCTTGCCTGCACCTGCCCAGGAGGTGGGGGGATCGCCGCCGCCCCTCATGCCATCTCTGCATGTGTCACTCACACATATTTGCCACAGGGCGACGGGCAGCCGGGGCACTCCTGGCAGAAGGGGGGCTGGTAGCCCTCCCAGCACTGGCAGCGGTTGCAGTGGCAGGTCCCGCGGTTGCTGCACTCGTTGCCACGGCTGTTCAAGCAGCCATCTGTTGACTTCTTGCACTGGCAGGCACTGCCCTGGTACTCGGCCATGCACTTGCACTCCCCGCAGTCGCATCTCCCACGGCCTGAGGGGGAAAACCTTTTAGACCAAGATTCTACAGAGAGCCAGGTCACCCTCCCTCTGCCCGTGCTCAGAGAGCATCACCGACCCTACGTTCTCCATGCCACCCTCCATGGGATGGTCAAGGAGGTCCTGCAGGCTGGTGTGGTGGGACCCAGGACCCCCAAGCCCACCCACTTGGGTTTTGGCAGGGAAACGCAGAATCTCCTGGGGATTTAATCTTTCTAAACAGTGCCCCCTTAGAGAACGCATCACGCAGATGCATCACCTTTGCCACCACAGAGGGAGCCATTGTGAAACTCGCAGTTCATGTTGTCGCACTCGCAGAAGGTGCCATAGATATGCTTGTTGGGCACATCGCTGGTGTGGCAGACACACTGCCCGCACACACAATCCCCCAGCCCCGAGCAGATGACTGAGCTGTTGTCCTTCCGGCAGCTGCCCTCCAACTCCTTGCTGGTCTTGCCTTTGGTTTCACACTCGCAGTTCTTCCCCGTGTAGCCTGAATTGCAGCTGCCATCAAAGGAGAAGAGCAAGCCTGGGTCAGCAGCCACAAGAAATGCTGTGGGGCACATCTGGGGCCCAGACCTCAGCCAAAGCAGAGCAAATCTAGGACAGCCTCACCAAAACCCAACCATGGCATGTTGGTTCTCACTCCATGATGGAGAGGAGCAGCCGATCAGGAGGAAACCTCAGACATGCTGCTCTCCCCACTGGTCATATTTACGACACTGAACAGTTGCCCAGAAATTATTGTTATATTTATAATTTCCAAACCCTTGCCAAGGAAATCTGATTGTTTCCTGAGGAAACCCAGTCTTTTCCTCTCCCTGTCACTGAGAGGCCACGAAGCAATAATTGCACTTAAACACCTGCATGAACTACAGCCCCAAAGTGGGATTTTGAGAGATTTCTACAGACATCTCTGTCTGCTTGATGAGTGGGTTGGCAGATGGTTGGATAGTTGCATGGGCTGGGTGGATAGTTGGATAGACAGGTGGGTGGGTGGATGCCCTTAGGAAAGCAGCAGAGACTCCATCAACAGACGAGAGAGCTCATTATGTCCCCTGCCTCCGTGAAAATAAACTGCCTCTCTGAATAAGAAAATTGGTGCAAAGCTGCAGAGCCAGGCCATGACTGATTACTGTGTGTACACCCCCCTGCTCAGCCCTCACCCAGTCCCACGTTCTCCAGGCACAGAGGTGTTTGGAGAAACCAAGCACACCACACAGCTGCCCTCAGCTTGGCCCAGCAGCCCTCTCCCAGCAGCTCCCCAGCTCTGGCAGTGTTTGAAATAGTGTTTTGGGGGGACAGCACATACCTGCAGATCCCACAGACAATCCTTCCCTTCCCACTGCAAGCAGTTGGGTCAGGCTGCTCGTTGCATTTGCAGTTGCAGTTGCTGTCCAGGTGGACAGTGAGGGTGTCTGTGAAGCCCAGAGGCCGGATGGTGAAGGACTGGCTTTTGATGCACTCCTTGGCCGTGACCTTCACTTTGAAGGTGACCTAGAAAGTACAGAGTGAGAAAGGGAAGGCCCAGAGGCCGTCAGGTAACTTCAGCAACGGGAGGGTGGCATCGGCCCCAGGCTGAGCACACACACATCCAGTGCAACAGAGGATTCATGCAGCATTTTGGACTCTTGGCATTAAATTCATGTAAACAGAAAGCCTGGAACAACAGGCATTAAACAGGATGGGCATCAGGAACCTTGTGAGCTGCAGCGTGTTCCCAATACGGTACCTCATCATTGATCTTGACATTGTCGCACTGCCCTCTCCGTTCATCCGAGATGAGCTTGCCCTTACTGCACATGGAGTCATATTTGACATCCAGGACGTCCGGCAGGGTGGAGTGGTCCAAGATGATTCGTGAGGAGAGGTTCTATGGGGAAATGGTGGAGAAAGTGCCATCAGTCCAAGAGGAGACCAAAGCATGGGGGTATGGTGTTGCAAGTCAGGGCTTCCCCCAGCCCAGGGGATAGGAGCAGGGAGCACTCCAGGCTGGGGTCTCAGCTGCCTGGGGTCGTTCTGGAAAGGCAGGTGGTAGCATTGGAGAGGTGGGAACCTCTTGCTTGCTGTGGACAGAGGGACTCAGCATGTCCTGTCCTCAAAGCCCTGGTCTCAGCTGCTCTCTCATGGTGAGGACACATGATGGGAAGCTTTCCCTGCTCTGAGCCCTGCAAGACAAGCAAAACACAGCCTCCTCCAGCACTTACATTGTAGGCCTCCTGGATGAGTTCAATGATGTTGCTGGAGTCCTCATTCAGCTCTCCCACTGCTGACTTTGGGATCATCTCACTGAGTTTCTGTCAACAGAGAGCAAAGAGGTGAGTGGTCCTCCCCGCATGACAGCCGAGCAGGGGGCAGCAGCAGGAGGACACGCACAGCTGTTTTGTCCTCCTGGGAGGCACCTGGAGCATCTGAACTCTCCTTACCTTGTAAACATCCACCATCTTACTGGTGACAGCAAAAATGGGCTGAATGTTGTTTTCGGCAAGTTTCTGGACCAGCTGGCCAACAGACGGGTAGTCCTAGGTGTGGAGAGGGACACTGCACTCAGCATGATCTCCCCAAGCAGTGGAAGGGTGGACAGTTTTGGGTTTGCAGCCCAAATTATGATGATTATGGTGACCTTGTGGTCTCAGCAACAGGCTTTTTATGCGACTTTTTTTTTCTATCTGGTGGAGCAAGGCTTGAGGGTGCAGAGCTGCTGAGCAGCCCCCAGGTACTTACAAACTCATTGCTCTTTTTGTACATGTTGTCCTCCAAGTGGCACTGGCCGTCGTTGGGGGTCAGGATGGCCCCGAGCTTGCCATCACCGGCGAAGTGGAAGCCATCATCGGTAGCATACACCAGCAAGCGGGTCACATTGCGCCAGCCGATCAAGTCCTGCAAGTGGCATGGAGACCTGTACCTGAGTGGGGCTGGAAGGACGATGCCAGTACAGCTCTTGCCAAAGCACGGCAAGTCTCGTGTCAGCCACAGTATAGGGCAGGGGGCATGGAGGAGGTGGGTTACAGGAGATCAGGGTCAGGAGGCTGGGGTAAGATGCTGTCTTGTACACCTCCCAAGAGTAACCTGCCCCGTTGCTGAATCAGGATTTATACACAATGGGCTTCCAGAGCCCACCTGGAGAGGGGCAGAGCCACCTCCTGAGGGACACTGAGTGAGCACAGGTCACAGCCCTCACACCTGCCCACAGCTGCTGGCAGCAGCGCGGACATGGAGACTCACCCCACACACTGCTGCCTGCATCATGGCATCCAGCCCCCCCTCTGGGGCATCCAGGTTCCCTGAGATGAACTGCTTCCCCACTTCACTCTCAAACTTCTTGGCATTGTCGGTCAGCGAGAGGATGTGCTTGAAGGCGAAGGGAGGCTGGCATTGCTTGTCCTTTTTGGGGCATGGGTTCTGCAGCTTCTCAGGGTGTGTGTTCACGAAGGGCAGCACTGTCTTGTCCACGAAGGAGCCAAACCCTGGGGCATCCAGGACTGCAACGTCAGGGGCAGGCAGGGACTGGCAGGGGACAATCTGCTAGCCCCTGTGTACGCGTCCACATCCCTTGCCCTGGCACACTCTCCAGCCTGGCAGAGGACAGGTCACGCTGCCTGCTGCCTGCATCCCACTCCAGCCCCGCTGCTCTTTCTGGCAGCAAACAGCTGTGCTGGGGTCCCGTGCCAGAGACAGGCTCACCTATGCGGCGAGAAGGGGTGGTGCTCTCCAGTGCCTTGAGCAGCTCCCCTCCCAGCTTCTTCACCTTCTCCAGGTCATCCAGCATGGAGTAGGAGAGGTCCATGAGGTAGTAGAGGTCAATGGGGTACCCCATGGCACGGCGGAACTTCACCTCAAATACAGCGGGCTGCCCTGCAGGACAGGGATGCTGGGATCAGCTGCTGTGCTGTGGCTCGCATCTCACCCCATCATCCACCCCCTGCTGGGATCCTCCTCTCTTTGGGAAGGAAAGGGGAAGAAATGTGGGCTGTGACATGCCACCACGTCCCAGCTGAGCCTGGGGGCAGACTTACCTATCCTCAGTTTCAGGTGCACCTCCTGGGGAGTCAGCTGTATGTCATTGCTTAAGGGATTATCCTGTGTTCTTGTAATGTCGTTGACTGGAAACTCGATCTCATTGTGTGGGCATCCCCTCTGCTGCAGCTGCTCAATGGTGTCGCAGCGGATGGAGTCTGGCTCACCAGCCTTGGTGAAATTCTGCATATTGCAACATCAGCAGGGAAAAATCAGAGGAGCAGGCAGTGAATGGGTTTGTTACAAGATGACCCAGCTCCCAAACCAGGTCTCCAGGGAACTGATGGAGAAAGGAAGGTTGAAGGGTCCTGTCTGTCAGATCCCCCCTGGCCCCCTCCACCATGTAGGACATGAAACACTCCTGTGATGCAGTCTCCCCCCTCCACTGCAGGCAGAGTTGGGCAGGCAGGGTGACCATCCCGCTGCCTGTTAGCTGACTGCTGGGGGCTGACAGAGTGAGAGGCTATGTGGACCTACCGGCTTCTTGCACCAGGCACAGCCAGGACCAGACTGGATGCAGTCCTTGCATGTCCCCACCTTGATCTTGGGGCACTCCATGGCAAAGGCTGAAATGAAGAGAAGACAGAGTGGTGTGGGGGGGACTCGAGGGAGGCCAGTCTGCAGCGGTGGCAGTCATGGGTTGCTCTGACACCCAGCGCCGGGCACCCATGCTGTCCTGAGCCTGCCCTGCTTGTAAAACCCATGCTGGGGGCCCTGGCAGGGTCCTCACCTGCCTTGCTGTCCCTCAGCTGGGCTGGCTCAAGTTAACTCCAGATCCTGGGAAATGCAGGATCTGGCCCTTGCACACCTCTCAATGCCATATTCATGCTGCTGTTGGGCAGCATTTGGGTCCCTCCCTATTTCACTGTCCAACTAAGATCCCAGGGGGAAGGCAGCAAGGAAGGGCAGGCCAGATTCACCTGTCATCACCAGCAGCAGCACCCAGGTCACCGCTGGCAGCCGGAGGCAGCAGTCACACGACATTTTCTGCAAGACAAAAAGCATCTCTGAGACCGCCTGGTGCATCGCAGATGCAGGGAAGGAAACCCTTGAACCCTATAGAAAGTGGCTGCAGAGGACAGTGGCCCCAGTGGGACATGCCCTTCCCACAGCCATCCCACTGCAGGCAGAGCCTGAGAGTGTGACCCTGCTGCAGCCCCAGGAGTTGGGCAGCCAGGGCCAGGGCGGTCACCATAGGTGTGTGGGCTGACTCGGGACAGGTGCTGGTGTGCTCTTACAAAAATAAGTCGCCTTCCAATAAGCATAGCTTTTGGACTAAATGTGGAAGTCAGCAGAGTGGGAGCTTGCACTGTATCACTATGCATTCAGCTGAACTGCTGCAAAGCTTGATGTAGTGTTTATCCAGACTCTTCAACCTATATGATTATATCTATGTAACACTGGAAAATCTCAAGCACTGCATTTAGTCTTTACTAGATGTGAGTTTTTTCAGCTTCTGTGTCAAGCTATATTTGTATGGAAATTGGAATGAAAATTAACAAAAGGACCATTTATATTAATTAACTAGCAAGGTGTGCTAGATACAGGGGAAAAAAAGTCTATTACTACTTGCTTTACATTTAACTGATTCATCAAGGAAATTAAGTATTTCATGCAGTGAATTAATATAAGTTTTCCTGCTGAGGGTTTTCAACAAGCAAGGGTTTCCAACATCACAGCACAGGTGACCGACATCCTAGGTGAGCTGCAATCCCATCTCCGAGGAAAGTGGAGAGGCTGGCTCATACTGTGTGGTGAGGTCCAGCCTGCCAGTGTGGCAACCACTAATCTGGCTCTTGCACAATGTGCAGGATGAAGAAGAAGGATAGGTTGTTGGAGTCAGACCTGCATGGGGAAGGGGGCCAGGATATGATGCTGTGGGTGGGGGCTCTGACCCCAAGGCTGGGGAGGTGGCTGCACATTTCTTACTGGCATGCAGGGAAGGAGTCCCAGCACATTATCCGAACCCCACAAGCACTCACTATCCTCAGTTCTTCACAAGCATGTTCTCACAGTGCTTGTTCTAGCCACTCACACTACTTGCTTCTTGCCCCAAAGCACATCTCCTAATCCCAGAAATTTAAGCCATCCATAAAGTTGGCTAAATTGCTCTTAGGGAGCAATTTTTCAGTGTTCTTCCTGTGCTGTCAATGAGATCATTAACACCATCATTTCTCGTAATGCCTTCCCTTCAGCATGGCCCTGGAGCAAAACCCAACAGAGTCACAGCCTTGCAACATGGACACACATGAGGAAGTGAGAAAGGAGGAATTTGTTAAAAGGGGAAAGAGGAATAAGAAAGCATGAAGGAACAACAAACATTGCCCTTTTTAGCAATATTAGACACAGTGTCTGAAAATCAGGTCATTGGTTTTGAAATAGCTCTGATGCTGCCCTGAGCCAGAAAAAACCTACTCCCTGGCTCCTGCACCTTGGCACAAAGTGTCATTATCCCCTCCTGTGAACCTGTAGAATTAACAGCACAGAGTCACATGGAAATGAGAAAACAAGGGAAATTTTCAAAAGGCACTGAGGCAAGGTTAATATGTAGGGCTGCTCAGATCCCCTTCTGAGATGTCAGGATGTCCTTTCTTAGCTTGTCAACCTCTGGAAGATACCAGATAAGCAAAAGATGACACTGGACAGTCTTGAAAGGTCTGGTCTCCTCCTGAGGGCAGAAAGAAGGTCTAGGTAGGTCGGTGGGTGTCATTTCTGTGACATTTGCACAGTGAGGTTTGGTGCCCAGCTGTAGTACAGACTCAGAGATGCAGCAGGACTGCTAAGGCTGGTTGCCGCTATTCCTTATGGCAGGAATCACTTGGATGTGAAGGTCTGCAGCCTTGGGAACCCCACCCTGCCCTGGATCCAGCCTCACTGGCAGAGGTCCAGTGGCCTTGCTACCGCACAGGCAACAAAAAGCACCTCTGTGGTCGCCCAGTCAAACCCTCACAGTGACGTGGCCCAGGAGCTCACTCTGCTGAGTCTGGCCCAAGAGCATCCTGTGGTGGGTGGACAGAGTCCTTCTTCGCAAAGACATCCTCCGCAAGTCCCTCTCCACCACCACAGTCCATCTTGGTAAGTTTTTAAGGGCATCGTCTATCATCACAGCTGCAACGTCCCAGACTGCATGATCCACACTTGCTTTGCTTAGCTGGCCCAACACATTTTTGTCATCTACAAATTCTGCCAGCACTGTTTGAGTTTGCAGACAATGGGTAAAAGCTCTTAAAGTATAAAAAAAGAAAAAGTTCTTAACTGTAAAAGCTCTTAATATGGCGGGGTGGACACCAGATGCCTGATAGACTCTTCTGGGTGCACCTTACTGGGAAATTACTTTGATCACTCATTTGGGCCGTGGTGCCCTGCGCCTGGGATGCACCCAGTGGCCTGTGGCAGGCCTAACCTGAGAGGTCCTCCAAGAGCAACATCACACTCCGAGGCACAGCTGTGTCACGACCACATTTGCTGTACTCTTAGCTGTGTTCATGCTCTCATTTGTTATTGATCACTGCTTGCTTCCGCTTTGCTGCATGTGTCGAGTTAATTAGCAGTGCCCTGGGGATGCTGAAAACAGTGAAAGCTCATATTTCTGCAAGTGCCCCCAAAAAATGGGGCCAGGGAGACCCTTGCCCAGCAAGAGCTGCCACTGCTGGCAGGAGGGAAGAACTGCTCCTGCCCTCGTTTCCTGTAGCACTCAGCTGACCCAAATGTGCCTAACTAGGCTCTAGCTTTTCTACAAGCTAGAACTTCCCACAAGGCTGTGGGGACCAAACCCATGGGCTCTATGAACTCCTGCCATCTCACCTGCTCAGTGTTTCCAAGTGTTTAATTCCTGCTATCATACCAAGCTGTGGGGTGGCAATGGTGTGGACCAAGGCTCTGTGCGCTCCTGATGGTTCTGTGAGCTCCTCAACCTTGCTGGAGGTTAGAGGTTCCTGCTTACAGGCTCATCTCATTAAATAGAGCAAGTTTCCAATTAAAACTGGATTAAAAAAAAGCTGCCAAACCCCCAAAATAAAGTGGGAACCTCAACACATGCCCAGATCTGACTGCTATTGAGTTTTGTAATGTAGGGTTCATTTTGGGGGCTGGATTTGGATGCCTTTCTAATCCCCAAAGTCATTTCTTTCCCCTGTCATTGTAAAGCACACCCTGATAATAGGGGAGAGCAGCAGAAGAAAGCTTACCACTTCTTTTCTTTTGCTGTGGAGGGAAATTATTCACTGGTATGTGGGTGGATGAGTGTATACGTGACGTAGGGTGACTTTCAAAGAGAACAAATGGGGCTTCTGCTTTTGTCTGCCTCCTTACAGTGTTCAGGGGAGGAGAAAGCAGATTTTCGGTCTGACTCTCTGCATTTGCAGGGCCCAGACATGGGCCTCAGCAGTGTTTTCTCCAACCCCCTTGGCTCATCCCGGACTTGCGGTGCCATCACCAGTCCTGGGTGTTCTTCTCCTTGGTGTGCTCTGCCTAGGATGTTGGGTTTTTAAACTATTTTTCATAAAATAAGGCAAGCAGAAGGATGCATGCAGTCCATCCTCTAGCCCTGGTGTGAAGGAGCAGAACTGCAGAGCTTTACAACCACCTTCTTCATAGGGTGGGGAGCAGGGTGATGAAACCAAGCACCCTGGCTAGGGGCAGGGAACGTTGCCACCAGGCTCTGCTCCCTGGCCAGGGCTGCATGGTGGCATTGAGAGGAGAAGGCTGCACCCAAGAAGCAGGGTCCTCCTTGGCCCTGAGCTCCTCACCACATGCCTCGTGCAGCTTGGGACCAGGGTTCTGCTTCAAGAGGAACCCTTTGCAGAAGCCACCAGGGTATTCCATCAATGGAGCATCTCTCGCTTGCTGTATGTTATGTACCTGGCATGGCTCAGGCAGGGCAAGGTGCTCCTGAAGGGTCTATGGACAGAAAATGTGAAGGTGGCCTTGGGGATAGTGCACAAGGAAAGGGCTGGGTGCTGTCCTGCATGTGGGCAGGGAGCAGAGCTGGGGCACTCCAGCCTCTCAGAGCACTGGGTTTGCTGGGGGGTATCAGTGGGATGGAGCAGGCTGCTGTGTAGCATGGAGGAGCGAGTTGGGATTTATAAATAGGACTGAAGGGGAAGTGTTGACGCTAGTGGCGATCTCATTGCTATAAATAAGAGTGTTCAACAGCAGATATGGGTCTTGCAGTCTGTTAGCCACAACTCCCCCTCAGTGCTTTGCTAAACATCTGTTTTCTTCCAAAATGGGAGGATGTGCTCTCATGCCCAGTATCCCAGGAGGACTCCTGGGGTGTTTGCACCATCTGCCTGCAACAGTGAGGTGCCACTAATGTCAGTGCTTGTGCCTCCACACTCCCAAGCACCCCTGGTGCTGCGTCACCATCATTCTCTGACACAGACACAGGTATCGCTGCTCCTTTCCCCCCAACGCTGGGCGGCCCCAGACCCCATGCACGGGTGGTAAACAAGCAGATTGGGGTACAAGTAAGGACAGGAGAGTGGATGTCACTTGGCTTATGGCCATTTCTTCCACCACTTGTGTGATGCAGGTAGTTTTCATCAAGGCAGACAGCCATATGCAGGGCTGCCCATTGGCTAAGACCCACTCTGTGCAGTGTATCACACTCAGTGTGTGTGTATACAGATTTTTATATATATCTAACAGAAGAAAATATAATACACATATACATAAAAATATATAGAAGTATTTTTATAAATATGTAAGAAAATAGATATAATTCTATGTCCTATTGTAGGAAATATGTATACATTTTATACATATTTCCTTCTATCAGCCTCCAGTCCCTGCAGGGGACAGGTGTGTGGGATGAGCACTCTCCCATGTGTACCAAGTGCCTAGCCCGTGCTCTGAGTGCCAAGGTCCCTGGGTGCCCTTGGGACCCTTGCCCTGACACAGCCTTGCTTGGGTGGGAAGGGACTGCCCTGCTGGCTGATGTGACTTTGGGTAGTCTGGGATTTTTAAGAGCACAGAAGACATTTCTTGTGTCTGATCTCCCGTGGGCATCACCCCTGGGCCTATCCCAGCGGGGATGCTGTGACAGCTGCTGGATTTGCAGAGATGCAGGACAGAGTCTTGGGGCTGTACACAGACTGGACCCCTGGACCTGCCTGAGGGCACAGCTCATCCTCTGGAGATGGCAGAGCCTGTACTTCATGGGAGCAAAGGAGGGATCCCCTATAGCCACCAGCCCTGTGGTGACTCAAGTATGTCTTTCTCAAAAAATAAATCACCCTGCACCATGCTTTCCAGCACATTGAGATCGCTTGTGATTGAAACAGCACCAGGATGAGGACAAAAAAAGTGCAAAACCACTGTGTGAAGCAGGATGTGACAGCCATGACAGCAAAACACACCATTTAAAGCCTTCCCACACCTTGCAGAAGCTGCATACTGGCATCTGTGCTGGCCACAGAACATGACGCCTCTGCGAGTGTTCACATGTTTGCTTTCCACCTGCTTGGGAGGCTGGGAGCTGGGGCCGCAGCGTTGGACAAAGCGTTGAAAACAGATGCCAGGCTACTTTCTCTGACACGTGGGGTGTGCCCCACATTTTGTCTGCATCTGAGAACCACGGAGATTTTGGGAAGGACCTGCTCTCCCCGGGGTTAGTTTGCCTGAAGCCTCTGTTGCCTTCCCTGCTGCCACCAGGCATTTTCAATGGTTGCCAGCAGAGTATTTAATGTGTACAGCACACGGAGAGATGGAGGAGAAGAGCAAGGGTCTCAGCCCCCTTTCCCACCTCTTCTCCCAGGCCCACAGGGGTGCAGGGACCTCCATCCAGGAAGGTCCCTATGCTAGCATGCTGGCAGTGGCTCCATGCTGGGGCCCCCTCCACAGCTGTCCCTGCCACCACGCCGGTTCCCTCTTCCCCTCTGAACCATCACATCCTGCAGCCAGCAGTGGGTGCTTGTATGGGATCCCACGAGGAAGAGGGGGGTCCTGGGAGGAGAGCCAACACAGCCCCTAGCCCTGGCACTTGCCCGGTGCTGCCAGTTGGGCATGCAGCCAGCACCAGTCTCCCCAGCGCCATGTGTGAGGGTGCAGGGGTAACATGCTGCACCCTCTCTGTTCTGCTTTCCAGGCCTGCAGGGCAGCAAGGAAGGGGTTGTGTGGTGTCTGACACCCTTCCCCCAGTAACCAGGCTTAATCCTACCTCCAAAAGCAAAAACATTACAGACCAGGCAAGCTGCCTTTACAAAGGCTGCACAGACTGACCAGTGCACCATGCCACATGTGGGAGGGACACTGCACCAAGCTCCCTGATGCCCATCTAAGGACTCAAGCAGTGGGAGGTTAGATCAGGAATTATAAAACAAATTCACTAGAAGGACCAGAGCTATGAAACCATCTTGTTGACTGGCTGGTGACCCCCGAGAAAGGAGGAACAGAAGCAAACAAAACAGATGCTGTACTCACCTTGCATCAAGCCCTCTCCTCCGTCCTGTGCTTAGGCTGGGATGAGGATTGTCTTAACTTCTCAAGCTTAGCTGGGAAAAGCAATCAGGCATTGGGAGCTTTGCAACGCACACCAATCCTTCCTTCCTATTTCTGTCTTACAGTAGGCTGGGGCAGAAAGGAGGAAGTCAGAGAGAGCGGTGGCTGTGGGAGGGTGTGTTCCCCCCTTAAAACCCAACCAGCCCTACTTGCACTGGCCAAAGCCCTGCCAAAGCATCCTACCCTGTGGGGCTGATCTCCCTGGGCTACGCTGGGGGGTCTGCAGCCCTCCTGCTGCACCCAGGAAAAGGACCCTACCCAAACCTCACCCTTTTTGCACCACTTATAACCTTTCACAGCACTGCCTGGGGCCAGCCCAGTCCCCTAGCAGGCAAATAAAGCTGGTACTGGGGGAAACTAGTTCATCTGGGAGCTGGTTCTCCCTGGGTGCAGAGAAGGAGAGGAGCTGCCTCCCCTCAGACTCTGGGTTGCACTCTGAAATTTTTGTGTCAGGGCTGGCTGCTGGTATAGCGAGGCCCGCTTGCTTGGCAGAGGATGCCAGTGCTGTTCTCACTGTAGCACAGCTCAGGGCTGTGGGGTTTTTTTTAAGCAGCCTTCAAATTTTGTTGTGCAGGCTGCAATAACTCCTCCCAACACACCAGCAACTGTATTTCCCTGAGCAAGAGGAACCAGCTCCTGGCAACTATCTCTTAACCTCTTCAGGGCACTGAAGTAAAAAAAAGTTGTTTAGAAAATGTACAGGATCATAGATTTTTTTTATAAAGATAATTAATGTGAAGCTTTTGCTAATTGTTTTGCTAATTTTGTTTTGTTGTTTTCCCCTTCCACCAAGCTATTGTTGAGTGACTGTGCTACATTGTAAGATACTGATGCAGTTCACCTGCTGCTGTCTTACAGTTATGGAGCTGGGTTTATTTCTGCAGCAAGCAAAGAGACTTGCAGTGCTAGCAGCACATTTCTGAGCCTGGATGAATGCTCCATGGGTTAGTGTTTTTATTAAAGACGACAACAGAGCTCTGGGCTGGTTTCGTCATAGTCAGGAGCTGGGTGTAGCTAGAGAGCATCGTAGCAATGCTTGCAGTGGGATGGGAGCCTCAGAGCAGCTATTGCCTGGCTGGTGCAGGGTACGGTGGGGATGGAGCCCAAGGATGAGCCTGCTGGACCCCTAGCTTGCTTGGAAAGCCCGGGTGGCTGCGGCTGGATGCTGCAGAGCAGCCCCCAGCCCTGGAGCAGGTGGGCTGAAGCAGATGAAGCTGGGAAAGCTGTTGGGGCTTCCTGTCGGTGTTGCCAGTTGCACATCTGGGGGAAGGAAGTGTGCTCAAGTGAGATGAGCTGTTGTAATTTTTCCTTTTGTATTGCATAAAGCCCTTATTGGGCTGTTCTTTTCTCTTCAATTATTTCATTGGGTTTATCAAACCACTCTGCTCCCAGTGACAAAAGGTTGAGGGAAGGGGGTGGGAGAGCTGGAAACCTCCTAAGCTGGAGCAGTGGGAGCAGAGTGCGTCCTTGTAGCCCAAAGCTGAAGCTCTCTGGTGTACTCCCAGTTGCTCCTCAGCTGTCTGTCATGCTCTCTTGCAGCTTTGGCCTTGAGTGGACATCCACAGCAAAACACTGTCCCTAACAACTCCCAGGGGACCCTTATCACGTTCCATTGCCCCTGTGTCCAGCCTATCAGTGCTTATCCTGGTAGCTTGTTATTCCTGGCTATTTACTATATGTATTAGCAACTGAGTATTTACTCTTATGCTGTGTCTGTGCTTTCATAATCACACACGGGACAAGATGTCCAAGCAGAAGCAAGCCAGGGATGGAGCAGGCAGCATTAGGATGCTGATGTCCAACCTCTCCTGTTTGCTACCCCCTACAGCTGGCAAAACCCATGCTCCTTTGGTGTGGGTTTCACTTGCTTGAGGTTTTAATCTTTGATACTTCCTGGTTGGGGAACAACTTCCATTTTTTAGAGGATGTCTTTCTGTTTCTACATTTTATTTCTCCTTGCTGCTGTTTAAGCCTGCTGCAGCTGAAGGGGGCGGGCATCCTTTGCAGACGTGTATGTGCTTAGTCATAGCACGTACACGCCCCAACCTCACTGTAAGCATTTTAAGCTGTTAAACATAACTTTTTCTATTTTCTTGTAACCATCTTTATTTTATTAGTTCCCCTTTTTAATTTTATTTTTACTAGAATGGATCATGTTTCCCCCCCACTGACTGGGGAACTGTTGTGGTTTTTGCGGGATGCTCTTGAGCAGCCAGGGTGGGGAGCAGGGCATCCAAGCTGTGCATCCATCTGGGCACTCTTGGAGTGGTTGCTCCCCAAAGTTGTTGATTTTGGTGATCAGAGGAGCCCCAACACACTCAACTAGCAAGGCTGTGTGACACAGCTTGCCTTGCACTCCTGTGCTGCCCATGCTGATCCACACTCATCAACCCCTTGGTCAGGTGGGAGCTGCTGCCACCCAGGAGATGGACTCATCAGTGCTGGCCTTCCTGCT